CATGCAGTGGCCTATACGTTCATTAAGGGTTGCTTACCATACCGTAACAGACGGTACCACACATCAAAAGATGCGCAATGTCAAGATAGTCCATTGGCACTCTTGGATCCAGAATCCGTCTATTCTGTACCGGCGTGATATGGCGATGCGACAAAATGTCGCAAATTCCGGACATTTGCCTCTATCCTTTACACAGATATGAGCGGTATTGAGTGTAACCCATCAACTACATTGCACTATCCGGGGCAATTGGTCTGTCGAGGTGATTCATCAAAGTTTCCTATCTTGGAGAGTATAAAGGCATTCACATTCCTCATATCTGCGTTAACGCGTGGGCGGGAAGTTGTGGGATTTTCTGCGCCAAAAATTGCGTTCAACAAAGTGAAAACTTAGAGGCTTTTCCTTGCGTGTAAATGGAGCAGCAGAGAGTGCCGTTCGTGCACCCGACACTGCAGTTGGTAAGCTCTACACATAGGTGTATGGAGCTTATCAACTGCATTGTCGGGTGCACGAGCAACTCCGCTCCCGCGTGTCCGCGAACACTCTCTCTAATGACTTGCAATCGATTGAGGCTCCGCATTTCCCAAGCTCGCGGTAGGAAAGTGATCACATAGCATGTTTGCGAAAGAGGCGCAAAGTCCAGGCGAGGCGGCCGCGCGGGAGCGGAAAGCTGGTGCATCCGACACTGCAGTTGATAAGCCCTGTATACAATACGTCAATACGTACTGTGTGATGAAACCTTAGGCCTCGGACAGAGTTCACGCGATTTGATCGTCGCGATTCAATCGCTAAAGGGCCGGGCATACTTCAAGCGATTTCAGTCGCGACGCGATTTGGCAATATTCCAAGTGTCCATAACTCGCTGTAGGCACATTTTGAATGTACAGAAGATATGGCATTTTATCAAGCTAAGTAAGTTATACATCTATGCATGTGCCAGTGTTGGATCTGAAAACTTCTGGCAAATTGGCAAGTCGCGTCGCGATTGAAATTGCGTGAAGTATGCCTGGCCTTTGCCTAAGGATTAAGGCATACCTCACGCGATTTTAGTCGCCGCGCGATTTGGCCCTGCAACGACTCTCCATAGCTGGTCGCAAACGCATTTTGCTTGGGCCAGGCTTACTGCGTTTGTTACAATTTACAGAATCTACGCACCCGGGCATCTGAGAGCCTCGCATGCTCAATCTCTAGATATCTGGCAAATCGCCAAGTCGCGAGGATGTGGCGACTTCGCGAAATCGCGAGAGGTATGCCTTAGTCCTAAGGCTACCTCAGTATGCCTTAGGCCTAAGGCATACTGAGGTATCTAGAGAGGCAGCTACGCGCGTATGCATTTGAGATCCGCTCACGGTTGATTTGCAGACATTTGGCAAAGCACCGAGTCGTGTAGATGTAGCAACTTGACTTAATCGCGCGAGGTATGCCTTAGGCCTAAGGACAAGTGTCACGAGTTCATTGCATGCCGATCTTCTTGTAATACGGTTGTGAACAGTTTTCCAACACGACTAATCGTGACTAACTATCACAACCGAAATACAAGAAGATCGGCATGCAATGAACTCGTAACACTTGTCTTAAGCGATTGAATCGCGGCGATCAAATCGCGTGAACTTTGCCCGAGGCCTCAATCGCAGTGATTTATCTGAGGACTAGTAAGATAGCAAAGATATACCATCTTGAGCATTCGTTATTTTTTTTACCCAAAAACGTTTTATAACCCTCTACTCAGTTTTGCTAATACACAAAGATTCTGAAATACGTTTCATCACTGCCGAGATTATGCGCATATTTCGGGACCACTCCGATTAATAATGCTTTCTTTTTGAGTAAAAAGTAATGAGTGAAATTTTAGCTGTACGCTAATTAATTTATACTGGCTGGCAAATCGCGCATTACTCAGTTTTGCAGATTGTTTTTATAGGCCCAAATGTAACATGAGCAACATATTACATATCTATTTGGCCATAGCACATGTTCTTTACCCCGTGTTCTCATATTCAGCTTTTTCTCAATATCTCTATACATAAAGCAGAAAATTTGTGTTTGTGTTGTGCACATTCCCCATAGTCATGAAGGATAAGCGGTGAAGCTCATTTTGATCTGCTGGTCATCAAGATATGGTAAGGACGTAGGAAGTGAGCCCAAACGAATCGGAATTAAAAGGGTAAATTCTGCTACATGAGAGATCAAGTACGATGGATTGGCTCCAGAACGGGGTAGAACCTCAAATACCAGCTCGTTCTCAATACAGCAATTGTTACCCTAATTTCACGCGTACAAGGCGCGGGGTGGTCCTAGCTTTCATCGACCAGCCCGAACACGGCAAAGGACTTCGCAACCAAAGGAATCCCATACCCTGCTGCGTTCTGCCTGTCGAATCGTGCGGTATAAGGATCGCTTCTTAAAACATGTTGGGGCGGCTGAGCAGCTCGATGAAAGCTAGGACCACCCCGCGCCTTGTACGCGTGAAATTAGGGTACATCTAAATCTACTCAAAATCTGTCAATTCTCAAGTTGCCGCAATTGTTACATCTCAGCGAAATCTACTTGTGGTTTACAACAGCTTACATTCGTCTGCCTGCATCTCCTCAAAACTAGTGAAAGTGTGTTTCATTCTTTATTGAAACAGAGGAATCGATACAGCCTTTTCGCTCAAGATTTTACAGCATGTATCTACCTACCAGTCGTTTTCAGCATTTATCAAACTTCACCTTGAGAAGTGAATTTAAGCAAATGCGCAACCGAGTGCGTGCTGACCTCCACTTGGAAGATCGGGGTAGTAATAGCACCCACCGAAGTTCGCCTGAAGTTTGAGGATTCTGGTTGCGTATACTAGGAAACTCAAATCTCACATATCGATGTTCAGCTTTTCCCTCCTTGAGCAGGTTTTCAACACGCTTTTCAAGATTAAGGTTAGCGTGGGTGGTTCTGCAAAATGTTCGTTCAGATGCTGGATCAGATCCTACCTCGTCATAAAAAAGAACAATTTAGAGCGTAAGTGGATACTCACTGGACACCTCCAAAGCGTTGTTCAATATATTTCTCTGGTTTTAGTCCGATATTGTCAGACCCAAGATATAGATAAACCTCTCCTTCGAGTGTGCAGCTACGATTCTTAACTGTACTTTCTTCGGAAGTAAAAGTAAATAGAAAAACTCTTGCACTCACAAGACCAAACTGCTGTAGCTCTCTTTCAAACATGTCGCCATATTCATTTTCAACGCACCAGCCTCGATTACGCCAAGGTGCAGCCTTTGAGCTTCCAGGCGAGAGAATTGCAGAAATTACGACAAGCAAGACAAGCTAAAGTAGCGTGTTCGAATCCTTTTCAAAAGTTTATAGTGAACATACAATGGTGCTGTGTCTTGATAGCATAATTTAGGACTACCTAGACAGTGTTTCCAATCCTTTTTATATAGCGGCAAAATTATATTCGAATTCAGCTCAGACTGTCACTCATTTGCACAGCTTTTGTACTCCGCACATGTAAATTACTAGTCTAGGTTTCACTCATTCCATTTGTGATGATACAGTTCATTCACAATAAAGAAGCAAAAACAGGCTCGCAACCATCAGTATGACCACATGAACTATTAGGTTGCTGCATAAGTTCTGTCCGATTTGAATTTTTCAAGTTCATAATGTCATAACTTTTTTCAAAACCAACTTTTTTTCAAGATCTTAATTTGGTTTTGTTGAGCAGTTCTTTGGCTATTAGACTTGAAGGGCGCATTGTGGAGACTTGCTCGAAAGAACATAATTTCAGGGTAAGGACGTACCTCGGCCACTTGGATATTTTAGGCCTGAAATTTCTTTACACTAAGAAATTTATTGAATTTTGATATGCTTTTTAGAAAGCAAGAAAAGACGTTCTAATGGTACTAACAATATCGCATTAGAGATGGAATTCTCTTAAAACAGCTGCTTCAAACATAAAGCAAAAAAAATTTGGACAGAACTTATGCAGCAACCTAATATACATCCGCATCTTGATTCGTTAGAGTTGAAAATGAATAATCAAAGCAACGTATGCAAGTGTGGTTAGCTGCGATGATTTTAAAAATGTTCGGCGAAGATATTTTACTCTTGACACTGAAATTTTGCTCTGCACGATAGTACAGCGTTGACTGTTCGCAACATGAAATAAAATTATGCAGTAAGAGCTACTTACTCTATGGACCAGCCTACCATGCTAATGTTGCTGAGAAAGAAATTTCCTAGATGTTAGTCAGCATATTTATTTCTCAGCCTGAAGAAGCTTATGACAGTTCCGTTCGTTCAGTCGAGCAAGTTACCAGCAAAATTGTAAGAGTGGCTGTGTCATAATAAAAGGGCTCGTTACCAGCTGGAACCAGTAAAATCTTGAAAAGGAATCTTCTTTAATTCCGAAAAATTGCTGCAAAGTCCCCTTTGACTCTTGGTCCCTCCTCCCTCCACCCCACTCCTCTTTTGGGTTTTCTGTTCACTCTGGGTGGAACTGCGGTCCAACCCAAAATAAAGGGCAGAAAATCCAAAAAGCGAGAGAACTACAGTTTCTCTGCCCCACTTTCCGCTTCCTTTTCCTATTCCATCTCCCCTCCTCACCCCCCCCCCAATGAGAAAATGAATTTATAGGAAGCAACAAAAAAGAGAGGGCCAAAAGAGGAAATGAGACACTCGCGCGTCGTTCTCCTTATCGTTGGGTATGAAATTTGTAAACTTTGAAGCAAGTTATGGCCATAAGCAAATGTCGCAAACTCCTGTGACAATCGCTTCTTTTCTTACAAACTATAAGCGTATGAAGATTTAGGCACAAGCTATTGTACTGCATGACACAGTAGCATGTCTCCATCTGATAACTCGAAAAATTTTCATTCAATTCTATCTTCAAAGTCCAAAGTCAGTGTTTTCTAAACCATAATATTGTGATTAATCTTAGACATAGCTGTACAGCTTTTCTGCTGGAAGTTTTATGAAATACTACAAAACTTCACAATCAAGTTGGTTCGAATTTATTGTGTTTAGTAATTTGAAGCGAATACGCAAATAATTGCTTGTTTCTCCTTCCCATTCAACACTTCGCCGATATAGCAGCCAGCTTTGGAACTCTAAAGGTAAGATGTGTAGCACTCTACATATTTAATTTATAGACAATACTCACTTTGTACTTGACCATGCTCTTGACAATCATTTTTTCCACAAGCTGTTTTAACTCACGCTTTTTCCTTTAAAAAAATGTTCGATTTCCAGACAAAATTATGTTAGAGTTAAATGAGCCGACACTTACAGGTTTCCGTATCTTCTTTCAACGAGATAATGTCCCTTTGGAGGTTCTTTTCTGTTCACAAAGTATTGATATGCTTCCTTTTCAAGTTCACATCTATACTTCTGCAATAAAATTATTTTTTCATTTAGAAGGATTAGTGAAAATGTCCGCTTACAAGTCGATAGTAATAGAAGTGTCGATCAAATATTTTTCGGTAATCGTCGTCCAAGTAATCGCAGTCCTTTGCGATTCCCAGCGAGAGTGTAGCTGCTAAGACAAGCTGGAAAATAATAAAATAATAGCAACATAATAATATAATATTATATAATAATAATAGCAAAATTTTTCTTGATACTCTACAGTAAACCTACCGCAAGAATGAGAGCATGCATGCTTGAATACGAGAAAAAAGTTGTTGCTCTATTCATACTGTTACAGATTGTTGACTCATTGTTTGTACTTTTAAGGACATATTTGAATTACATTCAAATGTTTATACTTTCACGTATTTGTTTTAGTATATAATCTTATTAATGTTTTGAATTGAATACTAATATTCCCTACATGATGTACAGCCTTAGACCAAATGCGGTCAATTGCCTCTTACATTTTGACTGCAGAATTGTTCATATCAAAACATGGCCGTAAGAGGCATCGTTTTATGTTTCTCGCAAATGACTGAAAAATTTGCATTGAGGTGGAAGCATAAACAGCTGCTTCTATATAATTTGGATGTAGTCTGACATTCTCAGTGCTTTTGTACTGCGTATGTAATTAAATTATTTGTAAGACTTGGTAAATTATTGATCGGCGCCAAAGCAATTTATGAAATTTTTATGATATATACTTCCAATTTTTTGCAGTCAAAGTGAAAGTAGACCAAATCTATTAGGTCGTTCTGAAAGTTCTTTCCGTTTTTTCATCATATCATAAAAACACGTGGAACAAAGAAAGAGAAATGCTTCAGGCAATGTCCGACGCAGCTTTTCTCCCTCTTTTCAACTATCATATTCCTGTGCCGCTCGCTCTTGTGGTTCAGTGAGATAATGGCCGAAATTTCGGACCTATGGTTTTTACCATGTCCAACTTTGGCAATTTTTCACTATCTTCTTCTTTGACTTTTGGAAAAGCTGTGATAGCAGTCGGATAGAGTAAACAAAGTGCAATGCAATGCAATTTTTTGGCAATTTTAGCTGGCTTCTCATTATTTTTTGAGACAACTTTTCCAGAAGTCTTCACTTTTTCAGAGTCACAAAACACACAAACGCTCTGAACATCAACAAATCTTCGGTTTTCGAAACTTTTAAAAGTCGTTTACGATTGTACACTATTTTTACAAGGTAACTGAGCGTTTACCGCTTCGAAATATAAGATTTCGCATTTCGCGGGCACATCATGAGGCGGGTTCAAAATCAACATTTATGGAAATTTTATCGCCAAAATCCCACAAACTGAGAAGAAAAAGCACTCATCAGAAAGATGAGAAAAAGCTGCATCGAATGACACCTTAGTTGTGCCCCGTTTTATGTTCTATGGCTTCTGGCATCCACAGAAGTGGAATTTGATAGCATCAGAAAAATAATTCTAAAAATGTTTTGAGGCTAGCTATAGATGCCGGAAAATTGCATGATATTGCACCTTGTTTGCTCTATCCGACTGCTATCAAAGCTTTTCCAAAAGTCAAAAAAGAAGATAGTGAAAAATTGCCAAAGTTGGACATGGTAAAAAGCATAGGTCCGAAATGTCGGCTATTATCTCACTGACCACAAGAGCGAGCGGCACAAGAATATGACGGTTGAAAAGAGGAAGAAAAGTTGCATCGGACAGTGCCTGAAGCGTTTCTCTTTCTTCGTTCCACGTATTTTCATAATATGTTGAAAAAACGGAAAGAGTTTTCGGAACGACCTAATATATGATATTCAGGCTTGGTCCTTTTTCTTTATTATTGCCTGATCTTTTTCCTTCTGTTCGTTGTTTTTACTTGTGAGAGCTTTGATAGAGCACTATTTTATATCATCTTTTCTGTTATAACATAACGAGCGCAATATTTTACCTCTCTCAAAATTTCAGCAAAAAACATGTTACTACAGTGAATCATCACAATTTGTAATAAGGGTGTGTGTGTGTGTGTTTGTTTGTTTGTTTGTTGTCTACGGGCCGCGCGGGTTCATCCAGTAAGCCATAACTTCTTGAACTAGGCTAATCAACTTTTGAGGTTGAAATCTATAATACCTTGAGAGCATGGTTTAAAGTAAATTTTGACCTCAAGGTTACTTTGCCACTCACAAATATGCCCTGAAGTTCCAACACTGCACTGCTTGACACTTTTTATTATAAAGTAAAGTAAATGGACTTTTTGATAATGGCATCAGAAGATGGGAGTGTTTTCTTTACAACCATGGTGTATTGGTCAGCGGCGGTATTTTCTTTAGTCTGCATGTGAGTGTAGTGCTTGTAGACAACCTAAAATACTGAAGAATAAGAAATGTTGAAAAATGAGGATATTTTGTGTTTTCCGCAGGTGGTAAAGAGAGTATAAATTTTGTAGCAGGTTTGGGCACGGGATAAGAATGCTAATACAATGATCTTACGAGTACAAGACGCATCTCTAAACTCGACCAGCCGAAAAAAATTGACCCTCTACCATTGCTGCTCCTTACGAATAGTGTGGCAGTGCAACCATTTCGTGAGGCACAGTAGTGTGACCAGTAGTTGTTTAGCAAATAAAAAAGTGCGTTTTGTAGCCATAATTTTAGGGTGAATCGTATATTGTATCAAATGAAGAAAAGTGGGGAGAAGTTGTTACGGTGAATTGTAGCAAGTTTTTAGAAATCCCATAGTCCATCTGATATTCTCTCATTTCTTTCTTCAAAGAGCGGCCAAACAAACAATTTCAGATGGACCGAAAATATGGAGAAAAAGTTCTCGCGCCCATACGATATTTAAGAAGGGTGTGCATGTCCGGATCTCTTTTTGGGACCAAATGAAGTTCACGCTATTACTTCAGTTCATCGTCAACAGTTTTCCATTTGTAGATATATCAAACATTATCAATGCAAGATTCTCTCACCTTGCCAACTGACGTTGGAATCAATGATGTTGGTCTTCCCCAAACTTGATCTCCGTAGAGTATGAGATCATCGACTAAAAATTTGAGATTTACGTAGCAGTAAATTTTCAGAAACAAAAAGATATTACAGACCTTCGCTCCAAGCTGAATACACCAGGGAAGCTTCTCTGATATTGTCCGTGTTCATACCCATGAGGAGGTTTGAGTAGGTTGGTCCATTACATGGGAAAGGCAAAGGCTTGAGCCCGCAGTCCAAAGAGTTCAGATCGCAGCTGTCGCCAGGCCAAAAACCATTCTAAAAATTATACTCATAAAAGTTTCGTCCGCGACATCTCCCACAAAATTGATTTAATACCTGTTTGTTGCAAGTAGGTTCTAGGACTCCTGTACCTTCGCAGTTGCACAATCCGTAGTTTGCGCCAGCCAAACCCAAAAAGACGTCTACTTTCGATGTGAGTGGAGTTCCAAGGTTACAAACAACTAAACAATTCGATATAGAAATGAGCAGGGAGGGATTAATTTTATAAAGTTAATCAGATAACTTTGTCATTTTTTTTTTCAGGGCATAAACAAGGATGTAAGGGAACTCAAATGAGGTGTAGAATAAATACACAACACCAAGTATTTTCCCTTACCTCATCTAGTTTTGTAAAAAAAAATAAGATTGAGCTCGTTTGGTTCTGTGAAATAAAATAAAATTAAGAATCATAAATCTATATGTTATCTGTGATTAGAAGATTCCTGGAAAAGAGTAAAAATATGCGTATTACACGCCCTACACGCTACTTGACGACTAATAAGGTTGAAACATGCTCATTTCCAGTCATCTCCTTGTTTCCTTGGTTCTTTTGATTTGACTGGATATGTATTAGTCAGCAGTACATATTTCCAAAGTTTGTTATGCTCCAGAAGATTTCACGGAAGAATAGTAAGTCGTCAGTTGCCGCGCGTAGTGTGCAGACACACATATCGAGTTACAAATATCGTCAAATGCATAAAAGTCGCACATTGCTTGGGGGTTTGTTCAGTATTTTGAGCGGACAGGACATACTTTCCTTAGTTTTCAGAATCACTTTTTTTGGAATTACAAAATACCTTACCGCTGTTGTCTACCACGGCACCTCCTTTTATGGCTTTTCGACCCAGTGTTACACCCATGCTATGAGTAATAAGCGACACCTTTGGAGCTCCGGTGTAGGCGAGGACTGCTTGAATGAATCGTCTCAGGCGCGTGAGATCATAACAATCGTGGGTCCTAAAACACTTTTGACTCACTTTATTGGGACGATAGCTTTCAGTTAGAACCTTTTTGCTGCATTGTTAGTATTTGTATCACCCCACGATGTGGCGTAAAGTTCGGCTTGGGTATAGCCTTGATCCAGGAAATACTGGAAAATAATAAGCATTTAGTAAAACCAGATATTATTTTGCTCACCAACCTGTATGGAGTTCGTCCATCCCGTAGCAGTTTTTGAAAGGTGTAAAGCGGCATCAGAATTGCCATGGATGAAAATTACGGGAACATTTTTTACCTACACATAGAATTTTGAAAACTATTTTTTTGGAAACTATAGGCAACAATGTGAGAGTCACCGTGTCAGCAACTGAGGCCTTTCCACCGTAACTACCTTGAGTACCGTAATCAGCTCTAACAAAATCATCGTTCTGATATCCATTCCTGAAATGAATCTATTGCTTAAAGAATAAATGACTGCATTAAAATAATCCTACGTGTTTAGCCATTGCTGAAAATCGTCACTTATAGGCCCAGTAATGTCTGCTATGCATAAGGAATGGACTAAAAGAACAGATGCCCATAAAAACACAGTCATTCTGAACGAGGCGGAAGCTCTCTTTTACGTTATCTAATAGTGCCTAACAAACGCAGCAAGATAACGCTTTGCCTTTGGTCTTAGAGTTGAAATGCTTAGACGAGCGCTGGCGAGAGGGACAAAAATTTGAAGCAAATTCTTTTCTTTTCCTAATATTTTCAAAATGTCACAAAAGTGTTCTCATAAATCTTACATGTAGAAGTCCAGAATCCAGGGTTGTCATTGTTAGAACTGTGCATGTCTGGTTAGTAATAACTGGTTAGTAGCCTTGACGTAATTCACGAGCCCTGAGCTATCCTGAAATGCCTGGATGCATTGAAGTAAGGAAGGAAGAATTACTCAACAACTGAGAATTGAGAAGAGAACTCGAAACGGTGTCTTACGTCATATAAATGCAAATCCGATACCTTCTCTAATAACTTTATCAACTGTCGCTTGACGACAACGGTACACATGCGATGCTCCGAATTCTCTGCAGGCGCCTTTGGAATGGAGTATCCTGGAAAAATCTGGGAATTTCTGCTTGCCTGGGCCTTTTCGCTATGCTGTATCTGAAAAAATTCACGCTGAAGAGCGCGAAAACGGCGAAGAAGGGCTCTTAGGCAAGGAGAGATCAGATGGTGGGCGGGTCTTCCACTTCGCATATGGACGGGTCTTCCAAAGGTGGGCGGGTCTTCCATATGCGAAGTGGAAGACCCGCCCACCTTTGATTTCCCTCTTGAGTTGAAGCTCTTTTTCCGTTTTCGAGCTCTTCATCGGAGATTTTCGGATTCAGCATAGCGATAGGCCCATGCAAGCAAGAAATTCCAAAAGCGAGTCCCTGCCAGGACACTGTCTTCAAGATTCTCATCTGTTGTCTGAGTAACAGTGTAGCTTGCAGTATTGAGTTCCTCCTGTTGTAAATATATCAGCCTTGCCCAGCGTCATGATGTTGCTCAACGCAAACAAGTTAATCTTTGATTCAACTGGCATGGTTCTTGGAAAGCGCGGCTTTGTGACCTGATTAAGGCCGCTCGTACCCGCAACTAGTCTGCGTCTCTCTCGCGCGCTTGCGCTCTGGACATTATAAGTCTAACTTGGTCATGAAGCCCCGCCTTCCAAGCGCCAAGCCAGTTGAGTCAAAGGGTCGTTTTATTGTTAGCGTTTGTTCATTTTTTTATTGGTGTCAACTAAGGGGCTTCCAAACAGAGTTGCATAATTCAGTTTTAAATATGGGAGTTATACTCTAATTTTTATGTACACTCATATCAAGTCATTTTCTCATATCTTACAAGGAAATGGCCATAAAGTGTATATTCTCAATGAGCTACATGTCATTGAATGCAGCACAGAACGCTGATTCCAAATTATGGTCAGCTCCCAGATTTGTGTGGAGGCGTGTTGCGATTCCCTGACTCAAAAGATAAACTTTTGAACCTCCAGGTAATAGCGCTGCTTTTCGCACTGTCAAAAGCCGCCAAGCTTCGATTTGGCAGGACTCGAACTCCAGTGAGAACCAGTGCTATCCTTTTGGAACGATATCCCAATGAGTTACGTATTATTTCAGCAAACTCACCTTTTTCATGGAGTTGGGGAACAAAGGCCGCCAGTTTGAGCCGCCTTTCGCGGTCAACTGGTCCTTTTGCAGTTGTTTGTCATTCCAGGACCGGTAGTCCGCGGAGGGAACCCAAACTGGCGGTTTTCATTCCCTTACCCAAATCTAGGGTGTTTCACAATAACCGTTCTTAGAAAACATGCGAGAAACACGCTTTATTCAACACTGAAACATGAATGAAGATAAAGACAGGACTATTTCGCATTATTTAGGTGTGCGAATTCAAATAATTCTTCTAACAAGAGTCTCAAGAAGAAAAAACGCAAGCAATGATGTGATTATTTTCCGATTCCTCACGATATTTGCAACCGGCCTTGTTATACTGCAAATCAACTAACAACTTGATTTTTTGGCTTCAAGCTTACCCGAACGATGAAGTCCAATTCGTCCCAATCCGCGAACTGTTTGTGAATGAATCCCGCAATATTGGAGTACGATCTATAATCATATAGTTCATGCGGCAAACGCCATAATTGACCCGCTTGATCCAATTGAATCGTTTGTCATTTGGCGTCGCGTAGTTTTCTTATTTTGCAATAATTCAATCTTGCGTCTACGCGACGCCAAATGACAAAACAGTGCTGGCACACGAAATCTGTCAAGTGGACCAAGTGATTTGAATATACCAAGTGAATTAAGTGAATATATGCCTGTGCCCCGATATGCCTGACTACAGGCTATCCCGGCAGTATTTGGACTCGCATAACTCCTCCTATTTAGAGCAATCACGCCATCTATCATTTTGCTTCCTATGCCAGTTATGCACTGTTTTATTGAATACATCACATTTGGGACAACTTATACTTTCACGCCATGTTCAAGTCGTAAAACTATAGAACTTTTGACTGATTACCCGTAATATACTGCATCTAGGTGATATTCGATTGGATGATATTGACGACCAGAGTAGAGATAGTCTGAAGCCTTTTGCTCAAGCTCGCAATCGCCCGCCTTTAATTGAAATTGCCATAGTTAGAAATCCCAAAACGGTAAAACTAGCTTACAAGACCAAGAGATGTGAACTCCTTAGAAAACACATAACGAAGTGGATTATCTGAATTCTCATACTCGCATACATATGCAATATTATTATCCAATGAGAGTGCAGATGACCGAAAATTCATAAACATGCACAACACAATGCCATACCATACTGCATTCATCATCATGAGAAAGCGCTGCAATGGAAGCATATTTGTTGCTTAAAAATCAGTAACTTACCGATGGCACGGACGTTCGATGATTTTATCGGATAAAGTCATCTGCAGGCCTGTTTATACTTACATCATGCACTAAACTACGATTGTCGATTGTTGATACAGCTTTTCTTTGAAAAACATACACTATTCAATATTGTGCCTTTGTTTTTGTTCGATATAATGTCATTCAATCATGACCAAACCGATGCTCGGTCAAAATCAACTACTTGCAAGTTTAGAGAGTTCCACCAGCTTCGGATTTGTAAAGATCTTCCTCGTAGCCTTTAATTCAATTGGCTTGGCGGCTGGAAGGCGGAGCTTCGTGACTTAATTAAGGTTAGGTAATGATCAGAGAGCACGCGCGCGGGAGAGATGCAGACTGCGTCGCGGGCGCGGGCGGCTTTAGTTAGGTCACAAACCGCGCCTTCCAGCCGGCAAGCCAGTTGAATCAAAAGTTATAAAGCATTTTTTGACGCGATTGGCCAACCGCGCTCGTCATCATTTGTCGTTTCTCCAAGGGTTTTCAAGCGTTTCCATTTCGGATGCTCAGCTTGTTGCCCACGGTTGTTGTACCATGCTTGCTTACGTAGAGCACTTCCAGCAAGTTTAAGGCCCATTGCAGCGCCAATTTCGTGACAACTGGAATGAGCTTCGCCTTAATCCTGAGACTTCCTAAAATTGGAAAAAAATATACAGCATGAAAATATGTTGGTGTATTTTCTCATGAAATTATGAAAACCTTCAGGCTTTGACCATAATCAAATGCTTCAACGTTGGTGTCTTGGAGAATGGTAGCTACTATTTAAAACCACACATTTAAAACAGAAATATCTTTTTGTTAGGTTGTTTAAGGAATTGTGCGTTTTGAATAAACTCTTTCTGAAAATCTGTTTCGTTTCTTTTACAATGCTCAGCGTAGTTTGAAGATAGGTTCTTGAATATTTATTTGAAAGCATCCAATTTGAGAGTCTTAACTGGCGAAAAAAAATATTTTCGACATTTTCCAGTTTACTATCGATTACTTTGAAAGCAGTGCAAAAGTTCGCAATGTTCTAAAAAAATGTTGTTGCTTCTAGGAACTCATAGGAGTGTAACAAAGTTTGGGTTTGTTTTCGGATTACCAAATTCACTTTGGGGGCCCAACTTTGAAAGAAACATCTAAAAACGATCATAAGCAAGGATGGAGTTAAACAGACCGCGAGCCATAGAAGCGAGGTGCGTCCATACAATCGCGCGGCAAACATTTGCCCAAGTCAGCGTCCGTCACTGACCTTTCAGTATGAACACGCAACGTAGAGCCATTCTAAGCGCGTCTAAATCAAAACATTAAAAAATGATCTGTAGAAATCGTAATCTCTTATTCCCTTCAAAATCAATGTCCTTATTCGCACTCATCCTGTTTCCTTCATTGAATGTGCTGTACAACCTAAAAATAATTCGCACTTCCAAGTCTCGATGTTTTTATTTCTTTGAAATGTTGTATAACCTTTTTTTTACTAGAAACGATTTATTTGTCATCTCATCTAATTTGCACATTCGCAAAGAAAATGCCATCGAAATATAGTAAAAGCTTTGCTGCGGTTCAAGATAATGACACTCTTGGCTCGACGTCTTTTTCGTGACGGTCTTTACTTCACCTTTTTGGACATTTTTGTTTTCGTCGTTCTCGAGTTTTCGGGCTCTTTGTTCATCTATGATCGAGGCATCGTAATCTACCCTAATTTCACGATACAAGACACAGGGTGTTTTCTTCTTAGAATGGTCGGCCCAAACACGCCAAAGGATACCGCGACCAAAAAGCCACATACATTGCTGCGTACTGTCTGGGGAAATCGTATGACATGTAGAGTGTTTTCCGAAACACTGTGAAGCGGCTGAGTAGCTGCTCGCTCAAAAATCAAGATAGATGAGTCCCATATTCTTGAAATTAGGGTACTTCTATTGCAAGAATACCTTAACACGAAGGCTGGTCTCTCATATTTCAACTGGAACTCTAATTTGCTGAGCAAAATGTTCGCCTCTGTTTTCTAGAATAAACACTTGCAACAGCCACAGAAAATGATGACATACCGGTTTGACGCCTTTTACTTTGCCATTGAGCTTGAAGTTTTCGACTTAAACTCCCCTTTCCTTTTTTTATTCGAAGAAAGTAAAAGGGACTCGGTTTCGGTGAGTATGAGCAAATACTAACAAGGGAAGCGTGTAGT